GCTGAATAAAGACTTTGCTTGAATTTACATCTCTATGCCTGTGTAGTTTGTTCTCTGGGGAAGCCTCGGAAGCCTGGACCCTAACAGAAACCAGCTAGACGACATCACAAATCATCTCAGGATGCCCGCCCTTCCCCGCCTCTACAGCAATGGCTTCGCTAACCCCAGAATCTGTGCCCCCTTCCAGCAGGAAGTAGCCAGAGAATGAGATTCTAGGCCCAGTTCCCCAGAGGCCCAATTAAGAAAAGAAAAAGATGGGAATGAAGGCAAATTATGGCACACTAAGACCCCCACGCCTTAAGATCCAACCACCACCGACCAGATGGTCGCCCACCCCTTAAGATCCAATCACCAACGCAGAACACACCCTACCCCTACTCCTTTAAAATGCGCTTCCTCACCCACGTCCTGCTGCTCGCTCTCTCTGGGGGCGGCCATTTTCTCTTTCAGATAATAAAATCTCTTGCATGGGCCCGTGTCTCCTGAGTCATTCTGGGGTAAGGAGGGTTGCGAGATTCCCTTTCAGGTGGTGTTCCAAAATCTACACTCACTTCTCATTTTCCCCTCATTCTCAGAGCTTCACTGTTTAGTCTCTCCTCTTCTGTCACTCACCTTACTGCCTAATCTATCCCTTTTTATCTAATAATACCCAACAGAAGAAATAAAAAATTCCCACACACATGGAAACAAATTCTTATGGGCACTGAAAAGAACTACACTGAGAAAACTGAAAGATTTTGAAATGGACCAAAAAGTTACCTGGTGCCTGTCTAGCAGGCACCTTCCTGGGTTATCTGCACCTTTTGTTGTCTTTGAGCTATTTTACAACTCTGAGTGGTAGAAAACTGATCACAATGCAAGTGATTCTTATCCATAGGAATTCAAATCAATTGTGTCTGTGGAATGCAATCGTCTGGTCCTGAGGCAGAGCAGGGGCATGGGAGAGACAGCATGATCAACTTTTCCTGCCTATGATGAAAAATGCCTTGATATAAATAGTATAGTAAGAACAGGAGGATTATATCTTAAGGCTAAGATTCCATTTTAAAGCCATGAAGTTAGGTAAGATTCCTAACATTTTATGGTAATTAGCCAACAATCAACCCTATCTTAGGGCAGGGCAAGCAGTTCTAAGTAATATGTTTCCACTGCTTGAGGTTAATCATTATTCTGGAGAATAGGATCAATAAATTCCTGTGTTAAGCTTATCTTACAGAATATCCAGAGGACTGACTATGGATGTCATAGTGCCTCTCACCGAAGATAGACATCATGAGACTACACTCAGTCTTCACTCCCCTGGCCCTTTCTCCCATTCTTGAAATCCTTAAAAACTCAAATCCTAAACCTTTACAAGCACCTCCTCTGAGACTGCCTGCACTCCCATCTGAGTGTGTACTGTCTTATCAAATAAACTTTCTTGTTGCATAAGCCTATTGCACTTGTCTCTAAACTCTTTTTCATAATAAAGACAATAACTTACCAACCTCCACTTCTGGTAGTAAATGTCTTTGTTCTCTTTGCTATTTCATTCAATTTTCTAGTCAAGCATGAGTCTACTCTCTGTTCTACTTCAGACAAGTAGGGAAGGGCTACTGAGATTTGATTTAGGCTCGCAAGTTCCAGTCACCTGGGTGACCCGGATGAGACTGCAGCTCTATGATCATGCTCTTTAGCAGCCTGCTCAGAAAGTCGTTTCTTTGCTTTGGGAAGTTCTCAGAACATAATCTCACTCCATCCAGTCCTTTGCAGCTCTCCCAAATTCTGGAATGGTAGGGGTTTAGTTCCTACACTGCCATGCAAATTCAAGTGGACACTGGATGCCAAGTGACACTGGCTTTAGGAATTTGCAAGGGATCTTTATGAGGAGCAGTTCAGTGAGCTTCCCTTTCCCCTGCTTTTCCTTGCTCTCTACCAGCTGCTCAGCTGCTGCCATCACTACTACTCTCACTTTAATTAATTCCTCCCTTCCTTAGACTTGTCTGATCTGTTTGTGAATTCTTTCTCAATTAGAGTCAAGAACCCTCTCCAGGGTTGAGGTCTCACCTACCACACCGGGAGATCTCCCCAGATTGGACTGCACAACAACAGTCCTACATCTATTTGTACATCAATTTCAAGGTTACTTGTACCTGTGTGGTTGAGTTCTCCTTTGAACTAGTTATTACATCTTACTGATTTCCTCATTAATGAATTAAACAAAACCTTCAAATTCATTTTCTATTTGTATGAGGGTCGTGATTTTACCTTTTCAAAAAATCATCCTTGAACAGAACAGTGAGGTTATACACACAGGAAATCTCAGCAAGAAAAACTCAAGCCTGAAGAAGGATTACTTTATCCTAAAAGACCCATGGGAGAACCTACAGTTGAGAGTTCAAGGCTGAGAAGGATTTGCTCTCCACAAGAGTTGTATGAAGAGAATCATGTTACAGATCTTGTTTCACTTTTCACGCTGATTTTCAGGAAGCTAAGCACCAAATTTGAAACTCCATGGTGGCTGTTTTAGATTAGCCTTAATGATAGACATTTTTATTCTTATCTGTGGTTCCAATTTTCCATTTCTATTATTTCAGTATGAATATGCAAGCTGACCTAAATCCTCAGTGGAAGGAAGTGAAGCATAATATCCAGATAATTACTTAATATTTGATTATAACTATTTAGTAAACCCAATTACTTAAAAATGATGTGCATACTAACTTTCTAAAATGTGAATTTTTTAAAGACACAATTCAGGAATCCTGATCAAGTACGGTTAGTGCTGCAAAGCTATCCTGGACTAACTACTTACTCGTCCCTACCCAGGAGGGGATCGCGCCTGACTTCATGCCCCTAAACTCTACCACACCAAGAGGAAAAGCGAAGAATGGAGGTTTACAAGGGCAGAGTCAGAGGGTTGATATTTAAATACAGATGGACATACTCATGTAAACTCATTGATAATTACTATAAATCTGTGAGGAGGGAGGGCAGGTACTATAATTTTTTTAAATTGTGGTACAAAACATAACACTTACCACGTTAAACATTGTTAAGCATATGACGTTCAGCAAGATTAAGTACATTGATATTGTCATATAACAAATATCCGGAACTTTCTCACCTTGCAAATCTGAAACTCTGTCCCCATTAAATAACAGTGTCCATCTGCCCCTCCGCCCAGCCCTTAGCAACCACCATCCTACTTTCTGTCTCAGTTTTACTGCTCTAGGTACCTCATACCAGTGGAATTAGTATCTGTCTTTTTGTGTCTGATCTTTTTCACTCAGTCCTCAAGGTTCATGCATGTGCAGCAAATGTCCTATTTTCCTTCCTTTCTAAAGGTGAATAATATTCTACTGTATGGATATGCCACATTTTGTTTATTCATCTGTTGCTGGACACTTGGGTTGCTTCCACCTCTTAGCTGTTGTGAATAATGCAGCAGTGAGCCTGGGTATGCAACTATCTCTATCCCAGTCCTGCTTTCAGTCCTTCTGCATATTGTGTGATTACTGGATCATTCGGTGATTCTATTCTTCATTTTTTAAAGAACTATAACCATTGTGACAATGAGAAAACCAGGCAAGTAATTAAATCCCAGAGTCACAAAGTGAAGGGTCACCAACCCAGGTGACTCCTGGGCCTGAGCACAGGGTTCCTTCCACCACATTATACTGCCTCCCTTCTACCATAAGGCATGACCTGCTCTGCTCCAGAATTAACTGAATATATACAAGAACAGAAACAGAAACAATACTTGAAACTAAAGGTGGGGTAGTTGAGAATTATCATCTTACCTATGATGCTGAAAGCAACCATCGCTTCCTTGAGAAGTCTCACTGAGTCCCACAGAGCACTCTTGGAAACAAACAAGCGAAATTCATGTGCACGTGACTCATACTGGCATATGAACAATCTCTAAGTACTTAGGTTTAAGTCAGAATCACACATGATTACCTCATCTCTGTGAATATAAAAAGTTACACTCTGACTTCCTAGGTTGAAATCAATCCAAAATTTCTCTAATTTTTCATCTGCTGGTTTTCTCATCTGTAAGATATAATTGCAGCATAAATTATACACATAGATTTGTTAAAGCGGCATATGAAAGTTATTCCCATTAAAAACAGAACTTATGTTTGTCCTAGAACACCACTACCCTGATGCTGGTAGGATCTCTATTTATTGTCTTGCTTGTTTCTACAAAACAGGAAAAAAGTCTCAATTTTATGTAACTCAGCTATTTCTGAGGGAAAAAACACTATCCTTGGCTATTTAAAAGATGTTTAAATGTATCAGATGACTATCCACATAATTTTCTTTCTCTGGTGAGAATCAAAGAAAACAGTTCTACACTGATGCAGTGACAATTCACCCTGTACATGGATGAAATCTTCTTAAGAAGGTATTGTGATCAAATATGTGATGATTTGCCACCCTGCGTCCATCTGTTAGAGTGAAAACCTGACTCCAAATTACCTTCATGTTAATTCATGAGTATAAAATAACTATATGCTTATATTTAAAAACAAAGCTTCATACAGTGTGGTGTTTATAGGAAGAGTACTTGTCCCCTCCTCTGGCCCTCAACTTCCCAGGGGTCTCTGTCCACAGACACCACTAACGGTGCCTCTGTTTCCTCCTAGACCGTTTCTGTACATATGTCAGCAAGTATCTAGAGAGAGCTTTTATTCCTCAACAATGTAGCAAACACTAGACTTCCTATTCTACCACCTGCTTTTCCAATAAACAGTATGTCTTGGACATATTTCCATCATATATGCCTACTTCTTAATAGCTACAGAGTTGAATGAATGTTTTAACCTACAAAGTATATAAACCTCAAACAACTACAAGGAAAAAAAGTCACTGAATTGAGATACAGGGATCAGGCTACCAAATTCAGTCGTGGAGAGAAGGAATTTACAGTATACTCATGAGCTGAAAACAGCTCACAGAGGCCAAGAAGGAGGCTCAGAAACTCAAAACAAAGAAATGATTGATTAGGACATTCTGAAGACAGGGTCCAGGAAGCATCAGGAGTCAAGGTTCAGAGACCTTTGAAAATTTTACCCCAAGACGGATATGTTGTTAAGCTGGGGCACTTGCTCCTCTGGACCTTGTTCCTCAGGAAACCAAAAAGGGGGTGAAAAGAGACTGCTTAACCTTGGGCAATAAAGTACAAGGTAAAATGATCTAGCAAAAGAAAAGTAGCTCCAATTTCTGGGGATACAATGGGAAACATCAATTGGATGGAAAGAAGCAAAGGAATTGCCCTCTTCCCTCCAATCCAGGCATGAGTGATGCTACCCATTAATAGGGTAAAATAAGGCTAGGTTTCTGAAGTGGCCTCATGAACTCAGCATCATCCCTGAAGTTCCCTTATCCAGTAGTATCAGTGGGGCCCCTAAACTTACCAGTAATGCATCCAGGTTATGGTATGAAAGACGACTCAGGAAAGGGACAATAAGCTTCAGAGGTAAGGCCTCTATGAGACAGAAGCTTCCTTTTTGAAAAAGCCCTTCGGTGTATCAAGAGCTATTTGGTCTGATTATGTAAACCTAACTCTGGCTTTTATTACACCACTCACAACACCCCAAAGAGACAGACATACCTCATGTTCATCAGCAAAAGCAGCAATACACGGAAATGAATAGACCCTGCAAAAGAGATCACAGTTAAAAAGTAACATAAGACTTGGGTGGACCTCAAACAACCTACAGATGGTCTACAAACAAGCACTTGTAACAAGGGATGCCATTAAGTCTCTTTGCACAAAGTATGGAAAGTGGTCTCAAACTTGTAAATAGAGACCTACTATGGGTAGATTCCAAATCTCCATCTGACAGTCTAAAGCCAGTCTTACTCATATTAGATGCTTAGCAAGATTCCCAATGAAAGGAGTAAATTTAGAAAATATTTTCTCATCAAAACCTTACTTTGATAGGCATTTTGCCTACCTATCTCCAGAGACCTCAAGTTTATAGGACATCACTCTTCATAAAATCTCCAGGAGAACATAATGTTAAAAATACACCAAATCATAAATAAATAGGCCAGAAGACTGATAGAGATCATTTTTAAACATACACGGATTACTAGAATGTATCTAATCTTGAGGTTTCCACTCAATGAATAACTCAGTAATGCTCAATAAATGATGTAGCCTATATGCTTTCCTGAAATAAAACAAATCTGAGATTTTTGTTTTTAATATTAAACATTTTCAGAATACAACTAGTCAATAAAGTAGTGCTCAGAGAAATATCTTACCTTCTTTTGTCACCAAGTCTGTTGTTTAGGTGATTGAGAAACAGTCTACTGTCCTTCAAAGTAAATAATACAAACTTTTTAATAAAAGATGAGGATGGTTTATTATTTAAATACTAGCAGCATGTAGAGGTTAGGTTTCACCTCTAAATTTCCAGGATCCAGTATTACCACAAGGCTTCACAAAGATTCATTCTCCTATGTTAACTGAAACAATACTTTGTGTTACAAAGAGGAGGCTTCAGCCTCCAGTTCTGGAAAGAACCTGCCCAGCTTTGAGATTTTTTGGCTGAGAAATGTTTAGGTCTTCAAAAGCTGTATGCACACTTACATTTCACTGGGTTAAAAAAGTAAGCAAGAGAGATACATTTAAATGATGACCTTGATTACAATACTCCATTAACCCACTGGGTGTCCATCTCATTAACATCTGCCCAGCACAAGCCAAACACAAATCCATGAAACTTACAAACTTTGGATTTATCTGTGTGTTATCCACTGCCAATTTTCCTTATTGGAGTTCTGAACCATCCCACTCCTTTCCTGGAGTGGCGTATGTCCCAAGAAAAATGAATATTTTTAGAGTCCTCCTAACCAAAAGCTATTAGGAAGGTGAATTTGTTGTCACCCAAATTTTAAAGCTAAAAGACACTGCCTTTTTGTTAGCAAGAAGGGGCTGTTGTGATCAATCCTCACATTCTATTTTCCACACTGAGTAGATAGCAATAAGCCTTGATCTGAAAGTAGTTCAGTTAAGAAGTTAATGGCTATGGGGGATAAATAATTTGAGAAACAAGATAATTACTTTTGTCATATTTTCACCAAACTTTGCTGCAGGTAAGGGATTCATGTGGAGAAGAAAGGAAACTAACATCTGAGTGTCAACAACATCCCAGGCACTTCCAAGTTCTCTCATTTAATTCTCACAATTTTCAGGTGGGTTTTATTCCCATTTCACAGATGAGGACAACTCAAGCTTCCTAAGTCAACTATCTTACCAAAGTGCACACATGATATAAGTCAGGGAGGTGGGACTCAAACCTGCTGCTCAGGGTCTTTCCATTTAGATCAAACTGAATCCTGGCTAAACAACTAGTACAAATCTGCCAACAGACTCAAATGTAACATATCTCATAATATATTTAAAGTTTCAGATTTAATAAAATCCTAATTGTATGACCATTCTGACCAGAAAGGTTTTGTTCAACATGAGCACTGTCATTAAGAATTTTACCTTTTCCTGAGGGTCTAATCCTCATTTTCAGAACTTGTTTAAAGAAGCAGGAAAGCATTTTAGCTGTTTCAGGATAATGATGGGCATGCAGCAAAGCCATAAGCTTTTTTTGTCCTACTTGAGGACACAATCACAGTTAGCCCAGATTACACTGAAGACACTAAAAATGATTATTCGTCCAAACTCCAAAGTCTAGATGGCTCACAGCACAACCATCCCATAATACTTCTCTGCAACCAGAGCATGCCATGCCGATTTCAGCCTCCAGTCATCACCCAGCTGCTCTCTGTAAAACTGAAATGTACAGTCATTGCTTCTACAACCCACTGTACCCTTTAAGGTTCAGTTGAAAATTGCTCCCCTCTTCATGAAATCATCTTTGACTGGATCCGGCAAATTCATATAACTCTGTCTCTAGTCAAAGTTAAGAGAAGTCCTATCTGTATGCTCCTATGTGGCCGACACATATTCTATTCACACTGTTCTCAAACTGTTTATGTATGTAGGGAAACAGGAAGCTTAAGTATAGCAACTTCAAGAAAAATTCCTCTTCTAAGTTCCATGCACAGGAAAGCACTGAGAGGATGCTTTAAAGGTACAGAGTAAACAGAATTTTGATGACCAGGAATCTTACCGTCTCAAATTCTCGATCCTTAATTTCTTTGAAAGCTTCAGCGATAACATCATCTTCAAACCACTGGTGGACAAGGTCATCCCTTGATTTTTTCAGTGTCATTCTACACAATGCTTCAGAAAGAGCAACCTGCTGGTCATAATCTAGAGATTAAAAACATGGTAGAGATGGGTAATTCTGGGCAAAAAGCAAAAAAAAAAATGAGTCCACAGATTAGCACTTGCTCCAAGAATTCCATCTTAGAAGACTTGTGCCTTACAGTTATATGCAGCAAGAAGTTCCCCTCGAGGAGCTATCATTTACATTCAATATTTAAGACATATCTGGAGATAATCTAAACAATAAGCATGTAGCATTTTAAAAAATAAATATGTTATATTTAGATATATTAAAACATTCATCAAAAACAGCTTGAACAGCCTTAAAAAAATCCTTCTACTACAAAAATAAAAGCCCAAGATAAGCTGTGGTATTTCACCATAAACAAAAGTTTATCATATAGATATATTTAAATCTCAAATAATTTTAAGGATAACAAAAAGCAAGTTGCAACCAGATATGTACAACGGGATGACATTTATGAAATGCTTTTAAAATTTGCAAAGTATTGTACGTAGCTTCTGAATACATAGACTAAAAATAGAAAAATACACTTGGGAATGAAAAATAAACCCAAGAATTACCTCTATGAATGGAGGGGAATGGGATCAGGGAAATGCACACAGGGGGCTTTACCTGTAACTCTGATCTATTTAAGAAAAGGTTTTTGAAGCAAATGTGGCAAATGATAAAATTTAACTAAGCTGGTGGTGAGTCAATGAGCATTAATTATTCTTTATGGCTTTCAGTATGCTAAAGTCTCTCCTAACAAATTAGAAACAAAATCTAATTCCTATTTTCAATTTGACCATAGTTTATTACCCATAGCTCCAACATGCTCATAAAACTCCCAGTGTCCAATATTTAATAATTTAATATTTAAAATTCTAAACACTTCTTACCACCCACAGTCAAGATTGTCCTTGCAAGGTCTTTCCTGAAACATTGAGACAAATTACATTTTACTACAATGAACATAAATGGGCAAAACTTTACTGGCATTAAAATTTAAAACCAACATATATATTTTTTAAATTACCTGTTGTAAATTCAGCATCAAAATTTCCTCAATGTCAAGAATACATTTTTATGGAAAACTTTTCTCAGTTTATATATATATATACGAAAGACCTAAATGTGCTTCTTTTTAAAGAAGCTACCGCTCCTATACATTCTGAGGCTCTGTTTCTCCTGTCAATTCTGATCATCTCTGAGGATTCATCAAATGCTAGGATTCTGGAATTTTATAATGACCTCACCAGCTGGTAAGGATGTCTAAACATAGTTTGATGCCTGGAAGAAATGACACAGTAGGGGTTGTGGGTCTTTCCTATATGAGCTTTTTGGATTGATTTTAAGAACTGATAAATTTATCATTTATCAGATGTAACAGGATCAAGTTATTACATTATTGTAACCAACACAGACTTTCATATTGCATATTCATTTAACAATTTTAATAAAGTGCTAACAAGTGTGATGTTGATTTTTGTTAACGTCTGAACTTCCTTTTTAAAGAATCAATTTGTCAAGAAATCTTGTAGTTCAGTTTCTCATAGTAAACAGATTGATTTATTACTATTAAATAGAAGCTTTAAAACCATACTCTTGTTTTGTGCTTGTAGATTTTACACTTGAAGTCCAGAACATTCCAGACTTTCTAAAACACACAAACAGTAAGGTAGAGTCATAGGATTAACTTGAAAGCTTAGAAGAAAGCATAAGGTCAGCTGCCTTCCAAATCTAAATACACCATTTAGAGTAATGGTTAAACTAATGTATTAAAAAATATTTTTAAGGAAAAACTCAGTGAAAAAACTGCAAAGACTAGTTAAATGGACAAACATGATAGCAGTGAGCTTGGCTATCACATCAGGCTCACCACCATCTCCATCACACCTACACTATGGTAAACTCAGTCACCCTTCTAGCCATGGCTGCACGTCACAGGAATGATGGTGCGACACAGCAATGTCATCGATACTGGCTAGTGGTTAGCACACAGTCATAGGTCTAGGTTCAAATATCAGAACAGGGTGCTGGCTTTGTTCTTTCCATGGTCATACATTATAACCTTACCTCCAAATTTCATTGTCCCAAGAACTACATAATTGTGACAGGGTCACCAAAAAACAAAAAGTCTGTCACTTGAAAAGCAATACAAATTCCATGCCATCTTGGTATAGCTAATGGTAACCTTTGAGCATTTACTCTCTACCAGGTAATGTGCTCACTACTTCAATGGATTGCCAGATTCAACCTGTACAATAACTCTATTGATCAGGTATTACTATTGGCTCCATTTTTACAGGCAAGAAAACTGAGGTACAGTGAGGCAGAAAGACTGTCCTCTAGAAGACACAACTAACATAAGTGGCAAAACCAGGATTTGAAGATCTGGAGTCTGTACTCTTTAATACTGTCCCATGAGTTACTAATTTAGTTTGCATTCACAACAAAAAATTAGTGCATAACCTGAGAATGTATTTCACCCCACAAACAATGCAACAAACAAAACCAATCCATACCAGTAAAAAAGAAGAGCTTAGAAAGTCTAACTTTTCAGTGCTTCTTCACCGCTAGCATAGTGCCTGATCCACAGCAGATGGACAAAAGGCTATTTACTGAAGGTAGAACTAACATAGGTCTAAGGAGAACAGTCAGAGGAACAGTCCAGAGAGCTTGCCCTGACATCATGACATCGTTGAGTACAAGGTCACTTACATTAGATGACAGGGGCCATCTGACAAAGGGAATTGTTTTCTCTCTTCCTGGGGTACACCATGCAAAATGCCGTTCAAGGTCTTCAAAGCCTGTTCAGAGTTGGAGAAGGCGTTCATGGGGAAGAAACAAAGAGACCCATGTACAACCTCTTCTAAGGTCTCCGGAGCAGCTGCGGTTAGTTTTGTTATGTGCAACTCACCTCCTGTTGAATCACATGCTTTACAGTCTTTTCTGTCACCAGAAATCCTAAGGCAAATATGAAGGAACCCAGCATCTCAATTCTTCCTGAAAGCACAATTTTACAAGAATCAAACTGATGCTAAAAAGAACAAGGACATGACTCCTACACAGCAGGCAGAGGCAGAGACTGAAAGAGCCATGCGAGCAATAAATGTTGCAGAAATTACAATCAGGGCAGAGGACAAGTTACAGCCTGCCTCAAGTTCCAGAAAATGCAGGCCACAATACACTTACATTGCATAGACACCCACTGAGAAAAATCATAGTCCATACCTAAATGGTGCCAAATAGCAGAATGGGGACAGGAGCAGCTAAATTAAAATGTACCTCAGACAAACTAAGACATACTTTACAACAAAATTAATTTCATCATCCCAATGTGACTACCAGAGAATGGTCAATAGATTCAAACATAATATTTAAACCCACTTTACTTTCATACATCACTTAGATAAATATTTTCTTTATGCCAGAATATTCTACTAATGAAAAGTAAATAGCCAGTTTGTGGAAATAACATACTTACCTCTCCTACTCCTCCTGGAAATAATCTAATAAAAAGGAAAAAGCAAAGTTTTTTTTACTACTTGGGTATTATTTTTAAAAAGCATCATAACCTAAACACTAATGCATTAATGCTGAAATTTCTCTAACAGGCAGGAGTTGAACTTATTATACAGTAGAAAAAGATTTTAGAGAAATCTTATCTGATCTTCAACCATTTTATTAAAGTCAGCTTATCACCCTTTATCAGGTGGATAATATATTTGCACGTTCGAAAATAAAACACTTCATTTTTCTCTAACGTTGGCTATATATATTAATGTTCATTTCTATTTCATATAATATTCTCATAATAACATATGGGGGACTTTTAGCAAAACCCACATCTTAGAAAAGTGCAAGTTTTATAAATAACGAAGACTCCTGCAAATTGCCAATGGCATGTGTTCAGCGAAGCATCACCCCCCTTACCAATGCTGTGTCAAAGAAGTCTTCTATAACTTGCGTCAGTGACGTGTCTGAGGCTGGCTCTGCCGAGGTCAGAAATCCTGTTGTTCTTTCAAACCAGAAAACCATGTACACAAGAGAAGAAACACTGATAGAACCCTTTCTGACCAAGCAACTACTGCCTAGTTGATAAAATTTCACAAATGCTTCTTCCACTAGAGCAGAATATATTTGAAGACCTTTTTCCACTCCACAACACTTCCATCAGGCCTGGCTCTAAGGCCGCCATCTAGAATACTCCATCATGGAATCATCTGCTACAGAGTTGCAGTAAATTGTCAGACAACAGCAAGAATTGGAGACTCAGCCAGGACCAATGCCAAAAAGCAATACATAAAGGACTAGTGAGCAAGGGGTAAGAGGGAAATGAACCTCCCCAACACAGGAGAAATTCTTGTTATCTGGGCAGCTGCAGAAAACAAGACATTAAAGGAAATGCAGAATTTGCAAAGTATTCCAGAAGTACGCTAGCCCAGTAAATAAGCCTCTGGCCCTGCTACCTTTCTTTTACCAAAAGGTTCCAGCTAACTGGAGATTTTTTTCCACACAGGAACATATATCCTAGTTCACATTAAGTTCTCAAATCGGTATGATTTAAAATAAACTTCTATAAACAATCCTAGAACATATTTATTCAATAAAGTAAAGGCCATCTTTAAGATGAGTTAAAGGCTATCTTAAGAGGTTACTCTTAAAAAAAACAATCCTGCACGCACAGTTAGAAATCATCAGTTGAACACAAAGTTAGCAAGGTAAGTCTGTGCCAAACAACTCTTACAGGAGATGGGCCTTCGGAATTTGGTCCACTTTGCAGCTGAGGCCCCAGCACACCCCAGCTGGAGACCATAGATAAACCAATCAGCTCTCAACCTAGGCTTCACATTAGGAAATGCCCTGGTGCCTGGGACCAATGGCAGACCCAGTAACACAGAGTCTTGGGTGAGGGGACCCAGACCGTGCTATGGAATCTCCCCAGGTGATTCTAATGGACAGTAGGGTGTGAGCACCACTACTATGTTCCGAGTGATGTTTCTTGCAGCTCAAACCAGACAAATAGTTGCATTAGACTGAATCACCTGCCTTCTGAAGCAAACTTTTCTCCAACTGTCCTAGGAAGAAATGTCCCTCTCCACAGCAGAACTCACTGCTAACGTGATATATTCTCCCTCCCTATATTCATACTCAAAATTCTATGCTGTTAAATACATTTTTGTCACTATTTCACTTATTCCCTCAAATCCTAATCTTTTCCCAGCCCACCAAAATATATGAGCTGAGTATAGATACACACAAGTGAAGGAAATGCCACATTATTTGATCAAGACTTGGGACTAGGAAGTCACTCTCTGAACCCACTTATGGGCCATGATCATACATAGTCTAACAGAGGCACCAGCTGCCCTCACAACTGTGTCATAGCCAGAGGACATAATTATTTATAGATGCAATAGCTACTTACTACTCATCATGCATATGGTATAGGACAAGTCACTTAATCCTCCTGGATCTTAGGGTACAAGACAAAATATGCTCCTTGCTATGGGAAATTTTTATTCTGTGAATAGCTTCCCAACACATTTTGTGTTGACATGCAAATGCAATTGATTTGAGATCTAACAGAATCTAATATCCCATCCACTTTGATAATATCAATCTATTCTCATTAGTGAAAATGTACATGAAATAATAGTACATGCTTTGAGTGTATCTAAATTGTGGTTATGAAATTTCTGTCACCAATTTAGAATTCCAGTGGAATATGGAAATTTCTGTTTGATTTCAAAACTTCAGTGGAGATCCAATGTGATCCTTTAAACCTTGGGAGGTTATTCTTAAATCTAAATAGGAAGTTCAGGTTGGGGAAGATCCCAACTCATCCCCTCCCCCCAAATATCAGCTTAAGGTTCCAAGCGACACCTTGGACATACTGCTCCATTTCCTCTGAAGTTTTATCTCCTCTCCCTGACTTCCAGTTACCCGCACATGTAGTGTATCACGGAGTTAGATGGAGCTAAATGCAAAGTGAAATGATACAGTTTGCATATACACAATCCTTAGATTCCCAAACTCTTTTAAAAAGTCCCTGAGAGAACTCCTCTCAGGGGAAGCCTGGCGTTTTAGTCTTTATCTCCTGGAGGGGCACATGCACAGTTATAGGCATCTTAGAATAAAAAAGGGCAGAGAAAGATCTTGTTGACCCAACCTGGTTTTAATACATTTCAGGTACTAGTGTCCAGAGGGGTAAATCAAAGATTTTATTACCAACCAGATCCCCTTTCTGCGTCTGTAACTCCCACCATCTCTTCACCAAAAAGTCATGTCAGTACTACAGAAATCTCATGAAGAGAAATACAGCCAGAGATGTCACAACCCTGATTGGCTTCCAGATGCCATGATAAAGGCATTCATTATGTTATCTTTCAGTTAATAAGAAAGCAGAATAAAATTATTTCATAACTGGACTGACTTAGAATAAGCAAAAAACACTTTTGCCATTTGGCTTTTCAGATTCAAATGAGATTTTAGAAAGTTGCAAAAGTGGGCTGTGGCAAGGGGAAGTATATGATAATTTACCTAGGTCCAATCTTGTTAATAATGTCGATTAAAATTAAAGTCTTTGGTCATGGGGGTGGGTACTGTATAATAGTCTTTTCTACTCATCCTATATCCCCCAAGTAAAATTCACTCAAATGATAAAAACATGCTATTATTCATTGGCTTGTCAAAGGGGGAAGAGGGCTGTGTCTCATTCATTCAGAAGGGGGACTGTCTGACATTCCCAAAGTGCCCTGCCCAGCACATACTCAGGAAACATGTTAATTTGTGATTGGATAAGGGCAATAAGCATGGTAACCAATTCCTTTTCAAATTTGATTTCAAAGGACCAGAAAATGCCAAACTTAACTAGATAACTGAACCCACTCCAGTTTTTTTAAGTTACCCAAAGCCATACACAATTAAAATATGACACTTATCTTTGGAATCAGTCCCTGCTGAATTAGCAGAGGCTCATCTTCTTTAAGGCCATCAATGAAGAACCGCTGAATACATTTCAGGTACAGTGAAACATGCTCAAATTCACTTTTATCCAGTTCCTAGGTATTAGACCACACTAAGTGAAAAGCCTTACAAAGAGAGTTGAGAGTAGATCCTAAAAGCTCTAATCACAAGGGACAAAACTATATTTTTCTTTTTTTTTATCTGTATGAGATGATGGATGTTAACTTATGGTAGCAATCATCTCATGATACGTTTAAGTCAGATCATTAGGTTGTACACTTAAACATACAGTGCTTATACATCAATTCTACCTGAATAAAACTGGGGGAAGAAAGCCTTACAAATAATTACAATTAGTATTTTGGTCAAAAAACAATTTACTTGCCTCACTTATTGATGTGTCAAGATGGTACAACACAAGACGATTATATTTTTGAGGAATGTGGCCTCCTTTCTGTTGAAAATATTCTTGTATTTTCTGAAATCCATTATCATGGAATGTACCAATGATAAGTGATTGAAGCTGCAAAGTGGATAGTTTGCAAATTATTTTTTCCCCAAGAACACTTATTTTATAGTAATATTCCTATTATCATAAATAACAATTCAGTGTGGAAATAATAGAGGGTAAATATAAAATAGTTATATCTTGAAGAGTAAACACTCATTTAGCCAATGATTGAGTTTGTGGGCTTAAGAACAGTAGTTTGCAGAATGTGATTCCTAGGCCACCAGGAGCATAGGCATCACCGGGGCACTTGTTAGGAATCAGAAACTCAGGAGGTGGAGCCCTTGAGGTGATTCTTCCGCATCTAAAGCTTAAGAATCAATAACTTAAAGAAAACATGTGAATTACAAGTATCTGTGGGAGAATAGGCTTTATTCTCAATAATATTAGAAATTCTAAAACGCTAAAAAAATTCAAGCCTATTACCACTCATTAAGTGGCATAAATGTCCACAATAGAAGGAAATGAATTCAACACTAATAAATACAGATAATGGACATTGATAAATATGCAAATTACCATAAGGAATGAAACTGATCTTTTCTGCCTGAACTTTAGCCTAGGCATACTTGAATAACAGACACTTCCTTAAATATCTATGCTATTAAGATACGATTGTTTAGTTTTAAAAATCCAGTCCAATCCTACAGGCTAAATTACAATATATAATATTATTTTAATAAGGGGGCATTTTGCTTTACACAACCCAAAATTCCCCTTATTCTTTGCACTGATTTAAATGGGGAGACAGCATTTGAAATTAAACACTTAAACAGAATACTTTAAGTTACCACAGTGAACCTTTTCATGCCAAGTGTGTTAAGTGTGCAGAAGATGTTCTTGTTTAGTCTCGCCATCACCCTGAGAGGTTAGATCCTTTATCTGGGGAAAACGGAAGGCTGGGAAAGGTGAAGAATTTGCATGAGATCACCCAGGTGAGATTCATGCAGATTCTCTTACTCCAAAGCTCAGGCTTCTGCCTGGTTCTCTGTTTTCAGAATAAATCCAAACCCTTTGCCTTGGCCTGCATGATTTGATCTCTGTAAGCTTCTTCTGCCTGACTTCCCTGCTAAGAATTCCAAATTAAGTCAAGCTCTTCCTTGCCTCAGGGCCTTTGCACTGACTGTTTTATGCCTAAACTGCTTCTCCCCACCACCTTCCACCTGCCTTGTCAACCCCTGAGATCTCAGCCTCAGTGTAACTTTTTCAGAAAGGTTTTCCAGGATCTTATCTAAAATAAGTCAAGTGCTCTCCTCCACCCTCAACTCTTCTCCATTACCATACCCTGTTTCTGTGGTCAGTAACCCGTTTCTTGGCTCTCTGCCAAGCTGTAAGCTCATGAGGGCAGGAATTGTGCCCGTTTTGATATTGTCTACCTACCCAGAAGAGTGCCTGGCACCTTGGACCAGGATATCAATATGAGAATGAAAGTAAAATTGGTAAGACATGGTGATACCCTCGATGTGGGAGATCAGGCAAGAGATATCAGAAGATTTCTCTGCCTCTGGCTTGAGCAATTAGAAGAACAATTGTGCGGGTAAGCCCAGGAAACACAGAAGAAGGACACACAAAAACATAAAAGAAAGTTGATGTTTTACAAAGAAAGCAGCCTCGGCCATTCCACTTCCATGTTCTGCCTTAAAAGGCTGCAAACGAACTTCCTTTTCCTGTGTATGATAAAAAGATATTTTTAAAAAAAGGTATTTCAAAGAAATGCACTTTGTTTTAAAAATAAAAGGTTCATATTGTTTTCCTGAACAAAAACTTCTTGCTTGTGGCACTGAGTATAGGTCTACATAAGACATTACTTAAGGAAAAAAAAAACTTTATCTAACCTTCATTAGCACTTTCTATGACAAATCCAAACCATCACAAGATGCAAACATCATAGTAATAATCACACAAAATAGACTAATTTAAACATAGCGACAACCATACATAGAACAAGGCTTTGAATTAATGATCCATTTTTAGAATGAGAGCTTGTAAAATAAAGTTTTAAGAAGTGCATTCAAGCCCGGTCATGAGTTTAAGCTGTGTTTCTGATTTATGTGAATTTTAAATGTGACTCTAGGACTTACACTGAAATTCCAAGGATCAAATATCAACAACCACCGCAAGAGAATTTAGAATATTTAGTAAATAGATGGTTATGCTATTTGTTTCAAGAAGTGATCCTGAGTCTAGGATGCTGGTTTTCACAACACATTCTACTACAATAAATAACAGCATCTCATCTGCTCACATCATCCCAACAATTTAACAAAGTATACTACACAAAAAATATTTAAAATCTCGTCTAAAATAGCTTTTAAAAAACTAGCTTGGGCTAACAATCTACTTCTATATGTACCTGATCAAAATACTTAATGTCAGCATCTTTTACAAAATTATCATTATTTGTAAGGATGAAAAATAGGGTGAATTCAAAACCCAAATGCAGACTTGTTTATTTTTTTTAACCAGCAGTGTATTCAGTTAAATGCTGAAAAGTATAGCACAGGTGGTACCAATCCACCCCCACCCCGGGCCCACGGACTTCTTAGGGATTATCATTCGCAGCGCTGTCAGCTGAAGGGCCAGCACTTGGGACCACAGATCTGGGGCCCTCGTGAGTTAACGTCACTGCAACGTCTGCACAGCACGAGAGAAAACGGGCTGGGAAAACGTCCGCAGCAACTTGAGAACCATCTCATTGCTTTCCAAACATTAATTCTCCAGTTTTCCCTTCCCCAAGCGCTTTATTAACCAGGAACCAGAGTTTCTATCCTGCCCCCTTGTCTCAATGAAAGCTCCCTAAAACTCCAAGCGAATACGGAGGTTGGAGCGCTCAAAGGGCCCCCGAAGGGCTCGTCCTCGGCGGCCCCGGCTGTAACTCGCGCCAGGTCTCCGGACGAACTCGCAAAGCTCTGCACCCTGAGCCCGACGGACCGCACACCCTCCAGCTCCCGATGAACTGCGGAGCGGAGGCGTGGGCTAAACGGGTGCCCAGGCCTCTCGGGGTCACTCACCGCCTCCATGCCGAGGCTCCCGGCCCGACGCCGCGCACACGCGCCCCGCCGAGCTGTTGCGCGGCGCTCCGCCTCCTCGGTTCCGCCGCCCGAGCCCCCTGCGGGCGCGAGGCGCAGCGACGAGGACCCGGGGGGCCCAGTGTCTGGAATTCGTGTCTCCGCCACGGAGTCCTGTATTTGGGACGACAGATAAGTTTGCAAGTAACTAGCTGTCAAGCCCAGGCCACCTGGGCGCGCACACGCGTTTTAGGAGAAAGCATTTACTCAAAGGATGTGAACTTCATCATTTAAACATTTTTTGCCTGAGAATTCTAAATTGACAGGTGCGCCCCTTTTGCGGAACCCGCAGTTGTCTCTTTACGTTCAACAGCTGGTTGAGCTGGATTTTGGTTTTTGTTGGTTTTTTTTTTTTGTCCATTGATATTGATTTAGACTAAAGTTGAACTTTTCCCGTAGGAACCGGATTTATACCTGAAATTGTGAGAGAATATTCCTATCACAAAAGGTGTTTTGTTAATACCTTGGTGAAGTCAGTCAAAATAAAACAAAACCAGAAAAAGGAAAATTTTCAAGCAGCTTGCTTGTTTTCTGGCCAAGTGCTTTAACCCGACAAGAATGTGCCCTATGGCCAAGTTTAGGCCAGTAGGTGGCCTGTTCTGTGACCACGGTGGCAAAAAATAAATTGGGCTGGCATTTTCTTAACAAACAAAATACCTTCAAATCCAAACATTCTTTATGTAAAAATCAACTTGCATTATAACTCGATGCTACAAGTATTTCGTGTCATGACGTTTATACAAGATGTTTGTTTTCAACAAAGCAAAACATAATATAACCCGAATTTCTACTAGTCAGCCAGCTGCACATGCCACCTCCGGTCCATTCAAAATGGTAATTATTTCAAAACTCGTTATATTCGTTTCCTGGCAAAAATGGTGTAAATACGCTTACATAATTATCTATTTTAATTTAAACGTAGTAAATTCAAAGGTTCCTTCCTTTGCTTTTTAATTAAGGGGATTTTAAAACATCAAAATAGTGATCAAAGAAGAGCCAGTTGTGAATATAAAGTGTTCTGAATCAATGCAAATTTAGTGCAGAAAGAATTGAATAACAATAATCAAAATAGTTTAAATAGATTTTATTTTAGAGAATGAAGTAAATCATGAGTATAATATACATAATAAAACTAAAATTTTCTTAATGTTAGATAAAATTTATAATCAATTACTTTCAGACTTCCGGGGGAAAATATCCTTGCAAATTATATGACTGTTAATTCATTCGAATTTTCAGGTGAAATGAAACGTAACAGACAACTCCACTAATAATTAATTTTGTCATATTTGATTAATTTATTTTACCAGCATGTTTTACTCAGGCATAATAGGGCAAATTGGAATATATATCTTAATTTTTCTCAAAATAAATGTGATGGAGAGTTTATGACATTTCTTTGGACACCAAAATCTATTTAGAATAAAGTATATGATTAATTGATTTGGCTTTAACATTTAAAAATTGTATTTATGTTTTTGAAGGGTAAGGATGCTCTAGGAACATTTCAAAATTACAGAGGTAAGAAATGTTTTAACAAAGTTTACAGTAAGACCAGAAATGAATTTCTAGGCATTCTCAGAGGTGAGTTTAAATTATTTTTGAACTTATATTCCAAAATATTTTTAAAATATGCATTATCTTAAACTATCACAGTTAAAATATCGATTTGTAAAGAAAAAATGAAGTGTCAGTTCTAATGTTTGGACGATTAAAAAAAGAACATAAAAAGCTGAATAGCAGGAGTTGCTGGGAACTTTGACAGTCAGTTAGTATGAAGAAAGTCTGTGGGTAAAATTAGTGGGTGAAGAGTGGATACTCTCTTCCTTTCCTTACAAAGGCTTTGTGGCAACTCTATGAAAGTGATTTTAATTGGAAACCCTGATCCAGAGGACCGTTCAGAAGAGAACTTTGTGGGAGAGGAGGCTTGGGGGCGATGTGCAAGTCACTGCCTCCTGCGTGGACTTTTAGTCTCTGCTTGGGAAGACAATCCCAGCTTGAAACTAGGGACAGAAGAAAATTCATGAATTGCCTGAAGCCGACATTTTCCGTCACGGCCGTTCTCTACGATCGGATGCCAATGGCTGGTGGCCCTGACAAGTTCTGCACGAATGGACTGACTTTTCCAACAGGCCTGACGGTGCCCTTGACCGGGGAGGTTAAGAGGACCGGGAGCATGGACGATGGTCTGGGATCTCCTTTTTTCCACCTTTCGTCAAAGGTACAGACTAATGCTGCAGGAGGTGCTGGCGAGGACGCCCACCTCGCCGGGTCCCACGCAGGGGCACTCCATGCGCCGGATGCGTGCTAGGCGATGCCAAGGAGGTCTAGCGCGGGCCGTCTAGGGTCTGCAGGGATGTAGGTTCGGAACATCCTCCTCCGATAGTGATCGGCCCTCAGGGGCCGCCTCTTCTCGGGCTAGGGCCGGGAGCCGAAGCATGCCGTCTGCAGAACAAAGGCACAGCGGATAAATTCTGGAAACCCATCTTGGCCTCACCGCCCAGGGTAGCTAAAGAACGACTTAAGCCATTGTAATCGATTTGTTTTATTGGGCGCCTTCAGGTACCGGAATCACCCAAATGAGACGGATGAACCGATAAAGAAGGCTTGGTCTCAGTCCCGGGGAGTGCACACCCGGCTGCTGCAGTCTCCAGATAGCCTCCGCAGATCGAATGGGAGTACAAACGATTTTGTCGTGGTATTTCCATGACAATACCAATAAAGGAGATTTCTCAGGTGGATGGTGACTGGGAACTCACTGAACCCCAATCCCTCGTTTAAACAGACAAGAAAAATGGGGCTCGGAGGAAGCCCTGGCAGGAGTGGGCCCGGGTCGGAGCTCTAGCCTCTTCCCACCGCCTGCCCCTGCCTCTAGCTCACCTCCCTTGCTGCCCCTCCCCGCACCCGGTTCACTCTGAGGGCCTCTTCCCTGTGGGCCAATTCCCTCCAGAGCCCCCGGAAGCAGGGGTGCACCTACACCCGTGAGCACACGGGGACCTTTGGCACCCCCTCGGACGTCACCCCCAAAAGCCAAACCGAGCACAGAGCCCCGGACAAGCACAACAGCTGCAGCAAAAGCCTGGAGTGGGCGCCGGAAGAGAGCCGGCCCCGCGCTACTAGCCCGGGCGCAGTTATCCAGACTAGGGGCGCGGTGGCCGGGGGTCCCACGTACGGTTCCCGCGCTGCCGGGAACGAGCATGGGCTCTCGGGGGACCTTGCTGGAAAGCCTCCGTCTACGAAGCCTCCATCCACGCCCAATCCGAAACCCCAGAGGCGGGGCGAGGGTAGGGGGAGAAATGACTTTCAGCTTAGATGAGACTTTCCAACCTGCCCGCCCCCACCCTCGCCCCTTAACTTCTGGCTTCGGTCTTCTGAGGGCTCAGGTCCGCCAGCCGCAGCGTTCCCAGCTCTGTCGGGGCGGGGGTGCCCGGCCGTGGCGCCCGGGGCTGCGGACCTGGCGGGCCTGCGAGGAGAGGCGGAGCGGCGGGAGGTGTGGCTTCGTTGCTGGGCTCGCGGCCGGGGGCCCCGCGGGCCGCGTGGGGACCTGTCCACACCGCGGTCAGAACTGGGCTCCGCCCGAGCCCTGACCCTTGTCCGCGCTCCTGGGATTCTCAAGAAACTTCCTCTCTGTCTCTCTCTCCATCTCTCCATCTCTCCACTCTATCTCTCTGTTTTCTATTTAAAGAGGGAAAATTCGCTCCGAGCACCTTTAGGACTGTTTTCTTCCATCTTTCAGGATCGCTGGCGGAGAAAGCGGGGGCGAGGTGGGGCAGATGCTGGCGGAAGGGGGTCAGACGGCGGACTGTGCGTGGTCCTCCGGGATGAAGCTCAGCTGGGACATCAACGACCCGCAGATGCCGCAGGTGCGTGCAGGTCGGGCGCGCCCGGGGCCCTGTCCACCCAGGGAGGGGGGGGAAGAAGGTCAAGTCCTTTCAGGGACTGTGGGCAGAGCTCCCCTACACATCCCTGAGAGCCCTCAAATGGAGAGGGACTCCACGCACAGCAGCGTCCTTCCCTGGGGGGTACTTAAGGCAGAGTTGGGTTTAGAGATATCTTCTCCCAGCGTTTTCCTTGCGCTTGTCGGAAAACACAACAAAAGCGGCGGCATCTGTTAATCAGGCTCCAAGTTCCCAGTGGGCAGGTGCGCAGGACGCCTCCTCGTCCCTCGCTCTCCTTTAACCAACACAGAAACTTGTGATTCTCTCCTTTATCCACGCTTTCAATCCCCCAAGAAAGGTAGGGGAGAATCTTGTCGAATGTAGATGCCACTGCTTCTCATGCAGCAAAACTATGAGGTATGGCTGTAGATCTCAGTGACCGGAACCTTAAACAAATAGCACAACCAGGACACTGTTCAGACGCCCGCGGCTGCGGGATGAAGCCCGGCTCCTGGGAGGCTCCGCAGCCATGCTAACCAGGCCACAGCGCCCACGGAGCCTCGGGAACCCGCATTTTGAATGTAACTTCTGAGCTTTCTTCTCCAAAGACAAGTAAATCGCCAACCTTTTAGGGCAAATTTGTTTTGTTTTATTTTGGTTTGTTTTAATCGAACAAAATGGTTTGGAGCCAAATCCAGCTTGGTCATACTGGACAGCGTGGTCATACTGGTTGAAAGGAAAACCTGAGTGACTTTAAAGCCCTGGGTGTGGGTGGACAGAGAGTGGGAATGGTCTCCCAAACATTTGCAAAGGTGGAATCCTGGAATGTGGTGGCACAGGGACAAGAGACTTGGTGTTTATTCAGCATTCACCGTGTGCCATATAGGTATTGAGAAGGATAGCAACTCATTAGCAAGGTTGTGTAGCCTCTCAAAGAGAGCAAGGCTTTTTTGGAAGTACATATTTGTAATAAGTTCATTTTATTTGTTTGAAAGGCTGCCTATTTACGAGGCACTCTGTAGCATTTTGTTCAAAGGCTAACAGCAAGGGCATCTCACTCTCATTGATTTCTGTCCACAGAAACCTTCATTTTTCCTTTAAAAGAGCCACATCCAAAAAGCGAAAAGATGGCTCCCTTCAAGCATTTTCTAGACTTCCTATATAACTGTGAATTATTTTTCCTTTGGGAGACTGGTTCTTAAGCAGTGATTGTGTGTAACTTCCTAGACGGGCAGGTGCACTGGGATATAGAAAGAAAACTGCAGAAACTTAGGGTCCTAGCCTGCCCTGGCTAACTGAAGGAGAAAGAGCAAAATTGGCTGTGTGACCTTGAGATAGCTCCTGAATTTGCCTTAATCTCAGACTTCTTACTTGTTATGACATAATGGAACTAGATAACAATCTTAAACTCTCATCCGGATCTGCTGTCGTCTTTCGTGTGCATGCTCATCTGGGGGGCTCGGGGTGCAGGGTGCATGCGCTTGCCTTTGCCACCCAGGAGAGCAAATGAAACCCAACCCCAGAGTTTTCCCTTCTCACTTTGATTTAAAAATTCAGTCTTGTCAGTTCACTACTTTGGTAGCTGGTGTGAGACATGGGGATCTTGTCTGTACCCTCACAGGGAAGCACGAAAGAAATACTTTCTTCTGGAAAATTGTCTATTTGTTACTAAAGCCCTTAAATTGAATTGTTCACTTAAAAAAAAGAAGATACTAGCTTTAAGATAAACTTAGAGTTGATAAAATATCATTATACATTTCATTTGTGACTTACCCTAAGTCAAGGTATTAATTCACGTCAGTTTTATTTCTGAGAAAAGATAAATAATGCCTATTAGTAATAATAACTATTTAAACAATACCCCTGTGGTTTTAGAAATGAAATTGCCAGTTAACCTATTACCATTAGAATGTATGTTACCAGGGATGTACACGCATCTGAATTGTCCAGTTGAGAATGTTTTTGCTTTGTAAATGGGTCTAATTATCCTGGGGTGCTGGAGGAGGAGAAGGTGCAACTGGTTTATGTGATACACTCTTCTGAGTCTCTATCATACCAATAAAACCAGGGAGCCTGGCTGCTACAGATCTTCTGTTTAAATCCCAGCCATGCTGCTGTAGAAGGTTATCTACCTAACTTCCACGACTTAGCTATTAAATAAGAGTAAAGATGCCCATCATGCAAAGTTGTTATAAGGCTTATAGATGCAGTATAATGTGGCTTTATGTGTTTATTAGGTTCCCCCCTTCTCCAAGACCCCCACAAACCCCCCAATACAGTCACTGTCCATCAGTGTAGTAAGATGCTATAGAATCACTACTTGTCTTCTCTGTGTTGCACAGCCCTCCCCATGCCCCCCACCCCACTATATATGCTAATCGTAATGCCCCCTTTCTTTTTCCCCGCTCTTATCCCTCCCTTTCCACCCATCCTTCCCAGTCCCTTTCCCTTTGGTAACTGTTAGTCCATTCTTGGGTTCTGTGAGTCTGCTGCTGTTTTGTTCCTTCAGTTTTCTTTTGTTCTTATACTCCACATATGAGTAAAATCATTTGGTACTTGTCTTTCTCTGCCTGGCTTATTTCACTGAGCATAATACCCTCTAGCTCCATCCATGTTGTTGCAAATGGTAGGATTTGTTTTCTTCTTATGGCTGAATAGTATTCCTCTTAATCCATTCATCTACTGATGGACACTTAGGTTGCTTCCATTTCTTGGCTGCTGTAAATAGTGCAGCGATAAACATAGGGGTGCATCTGTCTTTTTCAAACTGGGCTGCTGTATTCTTAGGGTAAATTCCTAGAAGTGGAATTCCTGGGTCAAATGGTATTTTTATTTTGAGCTTTTTGAGGAACCTCCTTACTGCTTTCCACAATGGTTGAACTAATTTACATTCTCAGCAGCAGTGTAGGAGGGTTCCCCTTTCTCCACAACCTCACCAACATTGTCTATTTGTTACTAAAGCCCTTAAATTTAATTGTTCACTTAAAAAACAAGATACTAGCATTGAGATAAACTTAGAGTTGATAAAACATCATTATACATTTCCTTTGTGACTTACCCAAGTCAAGGTATTTGTCTTTTGGATGGTGGTGATCCTTACTGGTGTGAGGTGATATTTCATTGTGGTTTTAATTTGTATTTCTCTGATAACTAGTGATGTGGAACATCTTTTCATGTGTCTGTTAGCCATCTGAATTTCTTCTTTGGAGAACTGTCTGTTCAGCTCCTCTGCCCATTTTTTAATTGGATTATTTGCTTTTTGTTTGTTGAGGTGCATGAGCTCTTTATATATTTTGGATGTCAACCCTTTATTGGATCTGTCATTTATGAATATATTCTCCCATACTGTAGGATATCTTTTCTATTGATGGTGTCCTTTGCTGTACAGAAGCTTTTTAGCTTGATATAGTCCCACTTGTTCATTTTTGCTTTTGTTTCCCTTGCCCAGGGAGATATGTTCATGAAGAAGTCACTCATTTTTATGTCCAAGAGATTATGCCTATTTTTTTCTAAGAGTTTTATGGTTTCATGACTTACATTCAGGTCTTTGATCCATTTTGAATTTACTTTTGTGTATGGGGTTAGACAATGATCCAGTTTCATTCTCTTGCATGTAGCTGTCCAGTTTTGCCAATACCAACTGTTGAAGAGGCTATCATTTCCCCATTGTATATATTCATGGCTCCTTTATCATTTATTAATTGACCATATATGTTTGGGTTAATATCTGGACTCTCTATTCTGTTCCACTCTCTGTGGGTCTGTTCTTGTGCCAGTACCTAATTTTCTTGATTACTGTGGCTTTGTAGTAGAGATTAAAGTTGGGGAGCGAGATCCCCCCACTTTATTCTTCCTTCTCAGGATTGCTTTGATTATTTGGGGTCTTTGGTGGTTCCATATGAATTTTTGAACAATTGGTTCCCGTTCGTTGAAGAACCAAGCATTACATTTTTTAAAATATCAAATAATTCTTAGCTTGTGAGCTGCATCGAAACGAGCGGCAGGCTGGATTTGGCCCACGGGCCTTAGTTTGCCTCTAGCTCTGCCCTAGAGACTCCTGGGTAAATAGTAAGTGTTTGGTAAAAGGTGGTTTTATATTAAACTAATATACAAGAAAGACATTACAGTATCAATAATGCATTATATGGACAAAGACCCCCAAACATGAATAGTAAAACAGTGCTCAGCATTTTAGGTGTAATTTTATTTCAGCCACATGACTCTTCATTGGGAACAACGACCATCCATAATGTTCTGGGGAGAATCCAGGGCTCAGGAGCTTCACCCAATGCTCGGTTTACCTTCTTCACAAAGCCCTTGCAAATTAGGAGATCTAAGTGGGGAGGATGGAGGGAAGCTGTTCTTCCCACTCTGATGTTCCTCTGAGTATCACTGCTCATGTGCTGACAGGTTTGAGAAGCCAAGAGCTTCTGAAGAAAGAGCACTGGCTCGAAGTAGAGTAAATATCTTAACAGACTGAGTTGCATTTTCAGTGATAGAGCATTCCAATCACTTTTTGCCCTGGTACTTTGATACTTAATTGGAAAATGTTTTCAGTGTTAAACACACCAGCAAGTGGTGTAACATGGTAATAAGAAGAACAGGTTCTGGGGTGAAACTACTAGGGCTCAAATCGGGGTCTTATTAGCTGTGTGACCTTGGGCAAATCAATTAACCTCCCTGGCCTCCATTTACTAATCAGTTAAGTGGGGATAATAATAGTAACCTATTGTCTGTGTGTGTTTTGAAGGCTAGATGAACTAATACACTGACAGCATTTAGGAGGTAAGTACTATATAAACATCAATTAATAACCAGTTGTCAGGCATACACAGACAAGATGAGTGATATTTTGTGATAGCATAGTTTCCAGGTTTTACATTTCTGGAGTTAAAAAGAACCAGTTTTTAATTATAATGTGCTTGGGGAAAATTAAAAATATGATGTGTCAGATTTAGGGTTGATAAACTTGACCCCCCTTTTGTGCGCTTTCCAGGCGCCAGGGCACTTCGACCACTTCCGCGAATGGCCTGATGGCTACGTGCGCTTCATCTACCGCAGCGACGAGAAGAAGGCACAGCGCCACCTGAGCGGCTGGGCCATGCGTAACACCAACAACCACAACGGCCACATTCTCAAGAAGTCCTGCCTGGGTGTGGTGGTGTGTGCCCGGGCCTGCACCCTGCCGGATGGCTCCCGCCTGCAGCTGCGCCCCGCCATCTGCGACAAAGCCCGGCTGAAGCAGCAGAGTGAGGGCGGGGCCAGGATGGGGCTGGCCTTGCACTCAGGAGTTCCCTTGTCCCTAGTTTCCTCTTTCTGCCTTCAAAAGGGTCTTGGGGTCAGAATGGGGAATAGGCTTTCTTCTTTCAAAAGAGTCTGGGGTCTACGTTGTTATTAATATTTCGCCCCCTCTGGCTTTGCAGAAAAAGCATGCCCCAACTGTAGTTCTGCTTTGGAGTTGATTCCCTGTCGAGGGCACAGTGGATACCCTGTAACCAACTTCTGGAGGCTTGATGGCAACGTGATATTTTTTCAGGTAGGTGGGGAGACATCACAGTTCCTGATGGATATTTTCATCAGACCGTAGAAACAACCTGCCATGTGCCTTAGGAACTCTGTCCAAAACCAAATACAGCTCCGGCGGCCAGATATGAGGTGCTGGGGTTCCCAGGGCCTCACCAGGCTCTTAGGAATTAGTTTACCTACTGTGTGCTCTGTAAGGGCGAGAGATAAAGGGAACCAAATTATAGTTACAGTTGATTTAATATGGTGAAGGGATTGTTAAATAATTCTTTAAGAGAGCTATTATCGATGCTGCTTTATTCAAAATTTTTTCTCTGTCAATTTGAAAAAATAAACAACAATCTGGGAAAGGCATAACCAATTTCTGACCAACATTGCCAGCTGCCTTCAGAAGAACAACTAAATGATTCATTTCCTACAAATGCAGGCTAAGGGAGTTCACGACCACCCAAGACCAGAAAGTAAATCAGAGACAGAAGCTAGAAGAAGTGCCATCAAGAGACAAATGGCCTCTTTTTACCAGCCCCAGAAAAAGAGAATTCGAGAACCAGAGGTAATGGGGAGCTTACATTACACTATGCTCTACGTTCATTTTCATCATGAAATACATGGATAATTAATTATGTGAAATAGGAATGTCATATGTGAAAATTGTATGTCTCTAACAAAATATCATTGAATCAACATTTTGGATAAGATTTCTGATTCTTCTTTAAAAAAAAGCAAACTCCATAGTCAATGATATAGTGAGACTGTGTGCTGACATCCTGATGCAGGGCAATTATCCAATGGTAAGAAAGGAAGAAATATGTGCACACCTGGCAGTGACTTTACTGTGCATCCTTGAGAGGGTCCGTTACATTACGTACACAGAACAGATAAAATTTCTTTTGCCAACTTAATCCAGTTTGGCTTTTCAACCAAAGCATGCTAGGCATACATTGTCAGTCTGAGGATAAGCTAACTAACATTGTTAGAGACAATTCGATGTGCCAAGCCCATGGGGTCTAAGAGTTTCACACATGAAAGGTCTGTTATGAACATAGAACAGAAGAGAACAGGACCATCTGCCCCTCAGACCCACCCTGGCTAACTACCGGGGAGCCTCGCCACCCAGCAGCACGGCATGCATGCCTGAGCGAGCGCCAGCCCGGCAGGCTCCAGGCCACATGCCCGAAGAGCCCACTGCATGGAGATGTGTCTTTATTTGGTTGGCTGGCTGCTGTTACAAGTGAGGGTACCCATGCCATTTACATTTCTGTCTACAAATAAAAATTTATATCATTTTTTAGGTAGGAGAGAATCAAGGCAACGGTGGACATTTTAACAATGTACCTCCCCTGGAAAATCCAGAAGACTTTGACTTAATTACTGACACTGGCATCCCTATTCCAGGGCAGCCTTGCTTTTCCTCCCCAAACTCTGATGTGTGCAAAGCTACCTGTGACCCAGCCACTTTTCAGAAATGTCCAAACCCAAGAATCTATTTGCCAAGGCCACTGTACAGCTATGAATTGGCAGGCCCTGGTTACACAAATTCGAGCCCATATCCCACCCTTTATAAAGATTCCAGCAATATCCCTAATGACACAGACTGGTCTCATATGAATGCACTACAATATGATGTTAACTCATACAGCAGCTTTGAGAGAAGCTTTGATTTCACCAGTAAACAACATGGCTGGAAACCAGCTCTTGGAAAATCTGGCGTTGGGGAGAGGACTGAACATGGGCAGTTCCAGGCCGTGGCCACTCGCCCTTATTATAACCCAGAGCGTCCGTGCAGGTACCTCACCACTCCCTCAGCTGGCCCTCCAGCCCTGCAGACTGTGATCACCACCACCACCAAAGTGTCCTACCAGGCCTACCAGCCCCCTGCCCTGAAATACTGTGACAATGTACGGGAAGTTAAGAGCCTCGTGGGGTGTAACTATGCTTCTGAAAATACCCCAGTGGCCATCTACCCTCAAGCGCTAGACCTTCCAGCTGGAACAGCCAGGGCAGCCTCTCCACCAGGATCACTTCCTTCGAAAGTTCTAGGAGATTGCAGGGCCATCAGATCCACACTGGCTTTTCCTCAAGAGCCAGCTTTCTCCAGGACAGATGGAGCAGATCTTTGGGATGTGTGTGTCTCTGGGCTGGGCACTGCCATCAATTTTTCAGATAGAGTCAGTCCATTCTTTAACTATGATAATGAGGACTTTTGAACAACAATACTGTTGTCCATGCAGGCAGTGAGATGTGAAATAGCTACTATCTCTTATGCAGTTGGGAGATTGACCTAGTATGCAAAGATATTTATATATGTAATATAAATAATAGTAAAAATGCTGATTAGTTGAGGAAATTATGGGCTGGAAATGTTTCTATAGTAAAGGGGAATTTTGCACAGCAGTTTAAAAGCCACTACATTACAGAGAATTAGATCTAGAGTGTGACTCCAAAAACACACAAATAAGCAAACTGGAGACCATAAAGATTAATAAGCTCAGTTCACTTAGCTTATTAGCTGATGTAAAAGTCAAGATCCTGGTCCTCATTCTAAGCCTTTTCCCATTTGACCATATTAGGGAATTTCACAAATCTTTGTTTGGCCCTTAAAGGTCCTCAGAATAGCTTCAGGACAACAGCTCTACAATTTTATCTCCTGGGTCATTTCATAAGATTGTTATTTAGCATTTACAACCTTTTAAAAATAGCCTCAGGAAGTAATTTTGATCATTTTATCTCCAAAGAGTATATCTATAGTTTTTAAAAAATTTGTAATTTTGAAATGATAAAGTGTAATTATTTTTGATAGAATTTTGTTTTCTAGTACCAGTTGAATACATTTACTTAATATTGATGGATGTTTTCATAACAGACAGACTAATGATACGTATTTAATGATCACTATTGTACTGAACTATATTTTTTTCTGATTTGGTTTCAAAATTAGCATTGAAAAGTTTTATTCAAATATAGCTTTACTATTCCTTTGTTACTCCTTATAAATGTAATTGGTAATGTTGTTCAATTAAATATAATTTAATAAATGCTTGAGTTATTTCAAAACAAATAGGAAAAAATATTGTTCATATTATAACCTGAGAAACAGTTGCTATAATAGATTAAAACATATTTGTTTATTTAACAGTTTTATAATTTGGGTTTTTTTTTTTTGCACCTCTGGACCCCCTTCACCCACTTTGCCCACCACCCTGACCCTGCCTCTGGCAACTACCAATCTGTTCTCTGTATCTATGAGCTCAGTTTTTTTGTTTTTATTTTTTCTAGATTCCACATATAAGTGAGATCATATAGTCCTAGTCTTTCTCTGACTTATTTCACTTAGCATTATGCCCCAAGATACACCCATGTCACAAATGGAAAGATTTTCTTCTTTTTTATGGCTGAATAATATTCCTCTGTGTGTGTGTGTGTGTGTGTGTGTGTGTGTGTGTGCGCACCACATTTTCTTTATTTCATTCATCAGCGGACAGTGAGGTTGTTTCCATGATTTGGCTATTATAAAATGTGTGTGTGTGTGTGTGTGTGTGTGTGTGTGCGCACCACATTTTCTTTATTTCATTCATCAGCGGACAGTGAGGTTGTTTCCATGATTTGGCTATTATAAACAGTGTTGCAATGAACAAGGGGGTACATACATCTTTTCAAGTTAGGGTTTCCATTTTCTTTGAATAAACACCCAGAAGTGCATTATCTGGATCATATGGTTGTTCTATTTGTAAAATTTTTTGAGGAACCTTCACAGTGGTTTTCCATAGTGGCTGTACCACTTAAACATTCCCACCAACAGTGCACAAGGTTCCCTTTTCTCCACATCCTCACCAGCATTTGCTATCTCTTGTCTTTTTGATAATAGCCATGCTAACAGGTGTGTGGTGGTATTTCATTGTGGTTTTGATTTGCGTTTTCCTGATTTGTGGTGCTGAGCATCTTTTCATGCGTCTGTTGGCCATCTGTATATCTTCTTTGGGAAATGTTTATTCAGATCCTCTGACCATTAAAAACATTTTTTTTGTTCATTTTTTACTGTTGAGTTGTATGAGTTCTTTATATATTTTGGATATTAGCCCCTTATCAGATACATGATTTGAAAATATTTTCTCCCATTCAGTTGGTTGCCTTTTCATTTTGTTGATGGTTTCTTTTGCTATGTAGAAGCTTTCTGGTTTGATGTCATCCCACTTGTTTATTTTTGTTTTTGTTGTGTTTGCTTTTGGTGGTCAAATCCAAAATTCAATTTAACCAATTTTACTACCTGGTTTTGTTCTCCCAGCAATAGGTTGAAACTAATGAGGCTTTAGTCTCAGGGATAGGTCAAGCACTAGAATCGCATTGGCGTCCAGCAGTCTGTAGGTCTGTAATCCACCATCATCTCTGTCTCCACCCAGAGCACTGGGCAGAGCTCTTTATATAGTGACTCAGTCAATAATAGCTTATTGCCTACAGGTATGAAAGCAGTAGCCTAGCAGCAGGCCAGTTACATCATCAAGTAGTTTTGGTTCAGGTGAGGATCCTGGCCATAGGAACCTTCACTTTATCCACAATCATATTCTCAGAGGAGTTAATCTATCATATCTAACTTTCTCCTGTATACCGCTGTTCCATTCATTTAACAATAAAAGGAGGTTGGCAGGAGACAAGTCATCGGCATATTGCTCTTTAAAATACAAATTAAAAACTGGAGGCAACAAAATCAAATATAATACCCTGCCTACATGTCAAATCATGAGCTCTTTCATTCATTCATTCAACAAATATGTATTGAGTTCCACTGTGAATCAATGATGCATTTGTATTAGCTACATAGAAGTGAGTTATATCTGTCTCTAGGAATCATAGGCCAGTGGGCACATGGACAATAAGGAGTATCTCACCAAGTGTCTCACTTGAGGGTTTCAGCCCTGGGCAAGTTCACTATGGATTCAATGTGACCAAAGAAATGACAGTAGAATGTTCTTGGGGTGAAAGGATTATACCCAACTTATTTCCATGGTGGCAGGTCAATCACTAGAATGCCGTCCACTCAGAGTGAGTCTGCATGCAGCAAGCCGGTCTCTGCCTCTGGGCCTCTCTACCCCTGCAGCCATCTCAATCTCTGTCCTGGGTGCTGCCACCACTCCAGTCTCATCTCTGCTCTCTTGCAGCCTTGCAGCCATGCACCATATCACCCAGAGCACTGAACAAGAGCTCTTTATATAGAGTCAATAACAACATATTGCCCACATGTGTGTAGTGACCTAGCCAATCAGGGCCAGGTGAGAATCCTGGCCACAGGAACCTTCACTTTATCCACAGAAGTGCTCCCTGAGGTACTGAGAGTTAACACCTGAAGGATAAGAAAGGCTAGCCTGGTGAACAGCCAGGGAAGAGACTGCAGACAGAAAAATAGTAAGTGCAAAGGTTCTGAAGCAGCAGAGCACACGTGGTGCTGGAAGACCCAGGGCAGAGGACAAGAGGGAACATGGTGTAAAGTGGATGGGAATGGAAAGCAGGTTCATGTCTTGATGTCCAAGATAAGGAATTTAGATTTTATTCCAAGAGTAGTGGCAAGCCATTGAAGAACTGTCAGCAGAAATGTGGCATGATCCAACTCATGTTTTGAGAGGATCATTTTGAAACTGTGTAGATAATGGATTGAAGCTGCATTTAAGAAAGAGGGAAACTATTGCAAGTCATCCAGGCAAGAAATGATAATGGTTTGAATTAAACAGTAGCAGGGAAAGGGAAGGAAATGGGCAGATTCAAAATGAAGTTTGGAAGTAGAACCCATGGAAGTTACTTATGGTTTGGATGTGAGATAGTAAGGAAAAGGGAAAAATAAAGAACAACTCTACCTTCAGCAAACTGAGGTGCTGGCAGTGCCATTCTCTGAAACAGTGGCAGCTGAGAAAGTAACAGTTATAATCACTGAATGTTGTGAGTCGTCCAAATTATCAGATGGATATAACCCTGGACTCTGTGGGCAGATCTGAGCTACAGATAAAACTCAGGAAATCATAAGCCTAAAGCTATTTTTTAAAGCCAAGAATGATTCACCTTGTAAGATAGCCTAGAGTTGTGCTGTCCAATATGGTAACCACTCACTATGTGTGGTAATTTACATTAAATAAAATTAGACATTTGATTCTTCAGCTGCACCAGCCACATTTCTCAGTTGCCATATGGCTACTGCATTTGGACAAGTGCATAGATGGAACATTTCCATCCTCACAGAAATTTCTAGTGGATAGTGTTGGGATAGAGAGAGAAAAAAAAGGGAACCTGGTTTGGATTCCTTACTAGTAGTTACAGCAGGAGGATGTGACAGAGGAGATGAGACCTAGTGGTCAGATAGGTAGAAAACCAGGCTCCACCTGGGTAGTCACAGAAGAGAAGGAGTCCCAGAAGCCAAAACTCGAAATTGCAAGATAAGGAGGAAGGTCAACATCTTCGCATGCTGCTGAGGAATTAAGATGAGGACAAAAAAGTGTCCATTGCATCTGGCAACATCGAAACCATCGGAGACCATGACACAAGCTGCTTCTGCAGTGTGGTGGGGCTCTCCCAGGCAGGTTGGAATGGGCTGAGAGCCCATGGGAAGCAAGGAGTTGGAGACACCATGTCTATTCTACTCCATGGATAATATAAAGTTGATTTACAGTGTAAATAAGAGTCTATGTGCTTGATTAAAAACTACATTGAGAACTTCAGATTTCTTCCAGGGAAACTTGCCTTGGTGATAGGATTGCCAGAGTTAGCAAATAATATAGAGGATGCCCTGTAAAATTTGAAATAACATAAATAACAAGTAAATTTTGAGTGTAAGTATGTTCCAAACAGTGCATGGAATAAATACAAAAATTATTCGTTGTTCATCTGAAATTCAAATTTAACTAGATGTCCTTTATTTTATCTGACATTCCTACTTGGTGGGAATATTATAACTTAATTTCATTCTCATTCAAAATATGGAAATGACATTTGATGAGCTAAGAAGTTAAAAATCTCTTTACATAAAATGATTTGGTTGCTGAATGTTCACAAGGAAATAGTATTTATTTTAACCATGTAGTCTACTTAATGGGAGAGAATAAATATGTTTTTCTCATCCTTTACATACGTCATAGATAAACTTTAAGATTTTAAAAAGCCAAAGATCACCCTTTAACATTTCTATTTACAAACCACACTGGACAGACCACCAGAGCCCCTACCACTA